CCCTGGCCCACTGCCACCATTGCCCCCGTCATCCTCCGCACCTGGAGGAAAAGGCCAGATAAAGAGGTTTTACACAGAAGCATGCACAGCTTGCTTTAAGAGATTTAATGTTTACTTTATTCTAAATATAGTTTCAGTCACCACCAGCAGATGTCGCTACTGGCTCGTAATCTCACACGCACAGAAATGGAAATATAACTTGAAAGAAAATCTGAAGAAGATTATCAACAAACCTGCTTATATAGAAAAGATTTACTTGTGAAAGTCAGCTCCCAGGATGGTATCTCTCTGGAAAAAGGAAATACAATTTGTGTCTTAGCCACATTCAAAGCACTACACATGAAATGTTAGATTAATGAGACCAAGGCCAGCAGGCATGAAGTCTACATGGAATCACGGAGAAAATGTGTAAGGATAAAGAAAGGTTAAATGTTGCCACAGGAGTTGAAACATCGCACTGCTGTCTAAAGCACATTGTGAATGGTTGTCAGATGTAATGTAATATTATTTAGTCTGATAAAAACCACTAAGCAAGAGTGTGGATCCAAAGCACACCTACTCATTTATTCCTCTGAGTGAAAAAAATATTACTAATTAAATCAAAAATAAAAAACTTTTTAAAAAAAGAAAATAATCCAGCCTCATATCTTTACATCTTAAGTCACTCTTGTGCAGCAGTGCTGTTCCCGCCTGTGTGAATATAACTGATGTGACATTCATGCCAGGCATCAAATGAAGCCTGGGTTTGTCATCATGCACAGATTTGTTTAAATGTCACACACTAAATATGGCACTGCAGCTTAGGCCCAACAGGATTATGTGTGATGCCACATAAAATATTATTATTATTATTATTATTTTGCCCCTGCCCTCAAAAGGGAAAAAAGAAAGGAAGAAAAAAAACCTCTCCCTGATTCTTATTTTGGGAAGGACAGGGTGAACTAAGGAAACAGGCACATGGGAAGAATTGGGTCAAATGCAAATTTGACTCAGTGCTTGCTGTCTGATTACATTCGACATGTAGGAAATGTAGAGACAGATTTATAGAGCAGGGCTTTTAGCCCGTGGACTTGGAGGTCAGTATCTTCAGATGAGAATAAAGCACTGCTGGGCCTCTTGTTGCACATTTGCAGCGCTGTGTTATTATTATAAAGCCAGGCTGCTTTAAGCTGGTAGGAAGCCAACAGTAACTCACAGAAACACTCATTATAACCAAAGTTTGCAGAAGAGCAC